AGGTCAGGAACGGGCGCGGTGTCGCCATGGCGGCGGCCGCCGGCACCACCAAGATCTCCTGGCGACTGCGTGAGTCTCACTTCCCGTCGCTCTCGACATATCCCGGCGACGCGCGCCCGCCCTTCCCGCCGACGGCTTGTTGCGTGTGTGCGTGTGCGCAGAGGAGTTTGAGGCTCACGCCGGGCGCGTTTGCTGCGCCTCTCTGGGCAAAGGGACGGGGCGCCTCCTGGCGAGCGCGGGCGAGGATTGCAAAGTCAACATCTGGTCCGTCAGCAAGGCCAACTGCATCATGGTACGTGCCCCGAGGCCCTCCTCCGCCGGCGCCCGCGATGCTGACGCGCGCGCGCGTGTGTTGTCAGAGTCTGCGCGGCCACCGGACGGCGGTGGAGTGCGTCCACTTCAGCGCGTCCGAGGAGCAACTGGCCACCGGCTCGCAGTCGGGAGCCATCCTGGTGTGGGACCTGGAGGCCGCCAAGAGTCAGGACACCTTTTTTTTTTTCCCATTCTTGCGTCGCCGCGCGCTCGCCCGCCGTTCCGCCATGTCTCCCGTGCAGAAGGCGCGGGCTCTTGCTATTCCATACTTGGCTCTTCGCGTGGCGTACTGAAAATTCCAATCAGAATAAGCGATTTGAATTGTCGAGTCTCAGCACCCAAGGACCAAAAAAAGCCCATTTCATCAGGAACGGGAGAGCGCTTTTCAATCGGAGAGACTTTTCGACTTGAACTGAAAGTGTCCGTTCCAAGCGGCGCGGCGCGGCGCTTTCCTCTCTCCGTGACCGTCGACCGCATGCAGAGCGGCGAGCCGTTTGGAAGCTCAGCGCTTTGCTCGCCCGGAGTCTCAGCACCCAAGGACCAAAAAAAGCCCATTTCATCAGGAACGGGAGAGCGCTTTTCAATCGGAGAGACTTTTCGACTTGAACTGAAAGTGTCCGTTCCAAGCGGCGCGGCGCTTTCCTCTCTCCGTGACCGCTGACCGCATGCAGAGCGGCGAGCCGTTTGGAAGCTCAGCGCTTTGCTCGCCCGACCCCGCGAGGTCGGG